GATGAGTGGATATGGAAAATGTGGTATATCTACACAACGGAATACTACTCAGCTATAAAAAAGAAGTAAATAATGCCATTTGCAACAACATGGATGGACCTAGAGAGAATTATGTTAAGTGAAACAAGTCAGGCACAGAAAGAGAAATATCTCATGTTCTCACTTATTTGTGGGAGCTAAAAATAAATAAATAAGTACACAAGTATACTGGGGGGGGGGGAAGAAGACACAACAATTACAATTTCTTGAAGTTGATATGACAAGCAAACAGAAAGGACATTTTTGGGAGGGAAGGGGAGAGTAAGGAGGGAGAGAGGTTTTGGTAATGGGCCATAATAATCAACTACATTGTATATTGACAACATAAAATTAAATTTAAAAAAAAAGAATTTCTTACTCGGACAATTAGTGATTAAAGGGGAAGAATTAAATATTTACCATGGTTCAGATCCCCATATAGGCCAGCTGCAAAAAAGAAAAAGTGAAAAAAAAGCATTGACCATGCCTTTCCTCAGAGGAATTTTCCCAATTAATGAGTGAAAGCACTTCTCTAAAAAATGCCAAGGAAATAAATGTAAAAAAGAAGACAAAATTAGAAAATCACCATTTTGCAATACCCAATGAAATAATTGATTCAGGCAAGTATCATTAATGGCTAGGTTGTTAGGGAATGGGATATTCAATCTGATGCCAAATTGCCAAGTGCAAAGGGGAAAAACTGTATCTTTAGCATCACTAACAGTGGACCAACCTGACATCATACTCTCTTGAAGTAATTCAGATCCTTAATCTGAACTCCTCTAGTGCCTACTTGACAGCAGGTATAGCAAACAGAAGAACAAGTTAAATTATACCACAAAAGAAACAAACAAATGCCAGAAGTCAGGTAACTCTACAACTGGTCTGGTTCAAAAAGTCAGTGCAGATGGGAAAAGGTGAGGGGACTGTTCAATATGGAAACTGAAGAGTGATAACTGAATGCTATGCATGAACCTCAGCTGGATGCTAGTGCAAAATAGCAAGACAATGGCCCTGGGAGCAATATAAAGACTGGACTTTGTGCTCATGGTCTCATCACCCAGGACGGACTAGGTGATACTACAGTAACTAAGAGCCCTAAATCTCAGTGGCTTAGAACAAAGGTTTATTTCTCACTCCCACATGTATAGCAATGTTTCAGAAGCGTGATGCTCCCCAATCTGTTGCCATTTATATAAGAGTAAACCTTCACCCCTTGAAGAAAAAGAGAGGTTTACTGATCATGGTGAGTGGTTTAGGGCACTGTTTATCAAAGTGTGATTCCCTGACAATTTGCATCACAATCTCCAAACTATTGCTAAATGCAAACTCTTTGTTGCTATGCAAATGATTTTAACTTCAGAGTCCCAGCCCATACCTACTGAATCAGAAACTCAGGACTAGGGCTTTGGAGTCTACTACTAGCTTCCGAAAGTTGCTTTCAGTTATGCATTTCCATTCTTTTGCCATGCAAAAAGATATTTTACTTTGCTAGAAAGAGTAGCACTAATCCTATTAAAACGGATTCATTTTTTATATTTCCTTATATCAAGTACAATGATACACATACTCTTTTGAAATAATTATTCTACATTCTAGGCTGTCTTTCTTATAGCTATAAGTTCCTAAAGCCTACAATTATACACACATGCGCGCGCGCGCGCGCGCACACACACACACACACACACTCTCTTTTTAAAAAAAATAAGCTCCACATTTTACTTAATCAATCAAGGTATGTTAATGTCCCTTAGACTTCTACATGGAAAAACCAACAAAATAAAACTTGCTTAGTGAAAATGGATCAATGTCACTAATAAAAGTCTGCAAGGTTATATACAGTTTTGTGGATGATCAGCTTTTAAACCAACTTAGAATGCCCCCCGTAAATTTTTCAGTATTCCAAAACTGACCTTTTGCAAAAATATTTTCAAATAAGGCTGATGGATCTTGGACATGATCAGCGCCATTGTGCACACAATAAGCACAAAATAGCTGCTGGCTTTGTCTCCCACTCCACCACCAAACCCCTTCCCCCTTCCCTTTACGAGAAGCCTCATGACTTCTGCAAAACAGAAACCCTTTTGCTTCGCAAGCAAGCGCACAGTTCTCCACCCTAGTGGCATAGCTTCCGCATTAGCATAATGCCCCTCCTTGACTGTATCAGTCCATATAAGCTCTCCCACCCCCCACATCTGGTGCTGTCCTTCATTTTGAGGGCAGCCCCAGGCTGCCCACTGCTTTGAGCACAGCCCAGCAGATTCTTTTCCTTTAATAAAGCTTGATCAGTACCTGGGCTCGGCTCACTCTCTTTCAAAGGTTAGGCTGACAACCCCCCCCCCCCCACTCTGCTAACCCATCAAATAAATAGAATTTTTTAAAAAAAAGTTCCTTTCACTTTTGTTTACTATGATTCCCTGAGCTATTTCTAACTTAGGTGACCTGTTCAATACATCCCCAATACAATTATCCTTTTCTCAATCGGTCACTTTTTCCCTTGCATTCACATCCAGATCTGCCCGTGCAGAGACATTTCACCTGGAATGTACATGCTCATTGGACCCTATGTTCCATCAACAAGTTGGCAAGGGCACAATAAAATACTGATTATAACATCAACAAGTGACAGGAGCAAAAGAAACATTTAATGACATTGTTAACTATATCTGCTGAGACTTTTAGCCCACTTTGTCTATTTTAAATATTTTGGAAGTTATTTTTGTATATAACAAGTATTATTTACCAACAATCTTTTGAAAAAAGTGTATTGCTCAAAACTTATACTGTTATGTTAATGTAATGTGCAGGTTCATTTGCTTAGGTAAGGAAAAAAAAAACCATAACCTGATCCCATTTGTTTTTTCCAAAGAAAAACAAAGTAAAACATGAACATTTAATTACCTTTAAATAGTATATGAAATAATTTACATGCTAGACATTCCCAAACACACTGAACATAAATCCAATTTTATAAGACATATACACAATCTTCTCTTTGCCAACATATACCCTGTAGGTCACTTAGGATGTTAACTGATTTCTTAGTCCACGTGTGAGTATATAAACACACATATATGTGCCTAAAGTTGAAGATTACAACAATAAACTAAAGAGTTGAATACAAGAAGACTGCCATGGAAATTGCATTAGTGACTGAAACCAAGGCACAAAAGCTTCCCTTTGTGGTCACAGGAATTAAGTTTTCTTTCCCAGTCCTTAAATATGAAAATAGGATTGGTTAATCACATACTATATCTTATGGTACATTTCTGTTACTGTTTAAAAAGAAGTATTTTTCTTATTACATAATGTATTACAGAAAAGCACTGGAAAAATAAACAGGATTAGATACACTCTTATACAATAAAACTTTTTTCATTTGAAAAAGATATTTACATTCAAAACTAATATAATAGATATAGGTGTAATGAAGAGAAGCATGAGGGATCCTATGCAAATTACTAGTACCCTTGAATTGTACCTGATGTCAGCCATGTTACTTAAATTTTCAAATTTAAAGCCAGCTAGGTGATACTGCCAATTGCAAGTATTTTTGTTGTTGATCATTTAAATGTTACTAGTACATAAACGGTTAACATAACATAGCAAAATAAAACCCTTCCCAGAGTTTAAGTTGCTTTGTTAAAAACATTAAATTCATACTAGGCTCTCCTTAATTTTCCTTTTTTTCCTCCATATTTAACAGAGAAGAAAAAAATATTACACACAGAAATGACTGCTTTAAAACTCATGCAACCAAACAAAATCTAAACTATCTGTACTTCCCTTTTTATTTAACCCGAAAGTTTTTGGGTAAACTGAAAGTTCTAGGAATAGCAATTCATTTTGAGATAAGGCAGTTTAAAATATACATACATATGCAGTATTCATGTTTCTGAGAACAGTTTAGAGCTTTGGCTCTTTAAACTTACATAGTTATCAAAGGAATAGAGACACCACAAAATAAGAATCAATGGAATGCTACAATCCATATACAAAAGACAGTCAAATGTGCTTATACATACTAGGAAGTCAATAATCTGTCTAAGCTGTAAATAATAAATCGTCAAATGTAGCACTAAACAAATTATAATCAGAATAAAACCTTAAGTTTCATTAATTTTGAATATGGAAGTGGGGCCAGCTAAACATAAACTAAACAGTGTACTTCTGCAACTGTTTATATAGGAGTATTGGAGCATGCAACCTCTGCAGTAATGAGAGCACAATTCTCTACAAACAAAAAAGCTTGTTCTAGGCTATAAAACTTAAGGGTAAAGAATAAACTGAGAATTAAGGCTTTTTTAGAAATATTTTTCATGGCTCTTCAACATTAAACATCACCAAAAAGCAAAATATGTAAATATTCATAGTTACACAGTTACATAATTGAACGTACATGCCATGTCAATTAAGGGACCATTTTGTCAAGTCTTGTTTTCTTGCAATTAAATTATACTTAAGGAAGGCTATTCACGTTTGGCTGTAATTAACATATAAATCATAAAGAAATGTCAATTCACTAGTGTACAGTGCAAATTGCGTTTTGAGTAAATCCTCCAATACCACTCATTTTTTACAGAATTGAATGTCATTCCCTGCTGAAAATGCAATTAAGCTGATTTATCTCTCAAGAGTAGTTTTCCTTTCTTCAACTATTAATCTACTGTTAAGCCCTAAGATCATTATTGGACAAATTCCTTTTGGTCAAGCACACAGACCATCCTCACAATAATCCATTTCTTGCACTATAGTCAGTCCGAAAAATACTCAATGAGTCTAACAAGTCATTCTTGCCACACCATACTCTAAGCTGACCACAGCAGGTTCTGATTTGGAAAACTCTTCTGCATATTCACCCTAACGATTATCTGCGGGGTTGCTGCCCTCTATAGTTCGAGGAGCATCATTCACAGGTAGCAAAGTCTGTTCTTTAAAACACAGAGAAGTTTTGAGGGTAGGTGATTCGGGATGAACTGAATGCAACAATTCCTTGGTGAAGACACCATCTGTTTGCTTATTTTTGCGTTGCTTAATTTTCTAGAAAAAATACAAATTTGAAAAAAAATTACCAACTGCACATACCACATGATCATTATAAGTTAAATGAAAAAACAACATGTTTTTGCAAATGTTATGTATAATGCAAAATTAAATCTTAAAAAGTAAATAAAATCTTGTGTACATGACATGGTTGAAAATCCTAATTGTTTACAATTTTTGCAGTAGAAAATGATTAGTTTTTATATTTATTAAACAAACAATTCAGCCAGACTTGACTGCAGATGATCACTTGGCCTTCACATTTGAAAAGGGAATACATTACCTAGAAGGCATAACAAGTAAGCATTTTATAATAAAAGAAATGGACATGAGACATTCACCCTGAAATCGTGACTATATAATATAACAATCGCAAACTTTGTTTTAGCTAAAAGTCTTTTTGACTATAAAGAGCTTTTTTTACATGGTTTTCCTACAATGATTTGTTAGGTAAACATAACAGGCTTTAGAACATAACAGAAGCTTTTTTTCTTTTTAAAAGAAGATTAAAAATTGTTCTTTGGCAGAGTATCATGTTCTCCAAATCCTTGGACTGATTTCCAGATAACTTCTTGTACTACCTATATTTTGGGCTTGCCTCTCTTTAACATACCCTCCTACAATTTGCTCAAGCAGCCATTGCTTCCTTATCTAAGAGATGACTAAAAAACACTTCTGCCTGAGGGGCAAACAAGACAGTCTCACTGACTTATAACAACTGTCTAGGATTTTAAAAATATATACATACTAACTGATCCTTTTTGGTTATATATGATGGCCAAAAAAGATGATAGAAAAGTCTTAGAGTAAAAGGAATTACTTAAACAAACATACACAAAAAGCATAAAACATAATGACTGATCAATATGACTACATGAAACTTCAAAACACCTATACAAAACATACCATAAATAAAGTGGAAAAGACAAGAATAGGCTTGACCATTTGCAATATATATAACTAACAAAGAATTAGTGTCTTGTATATAAAAACTCAAACAAATCAATAAGAAAAAGGCAAAAGTACCAACAGAAAAATGAGCAAAGGTTTGAATAGTCCATTCACAGAAAAGAAAAACCAAATGGCTAACAAACATGAAAAGTCATTCAACTTCATTTATAATTATGGAAAACCAAAACTGAAAACAATTTAAATATTTATCAGCAGCTGAATGGATATGCTGTGATGTATTCACATAACAGAAAGTGATACAGTATTTACTGATAAAGCTACATGTATCAGCAAGGATAAATTTCAACACTATGTAAAGCAAAATGAAGCATACAAACAGTATGACAACCTTTATATAATTTTAAAATATGCAGTTTCTTAAGCTGAATGAAGGGTATATGGGCATATAAATTGTTTTTTGTCCTCTTACAGATACTACAGATATTCTTTGGTATTCTTTCAATACATAATAAAAATAATACTTTAAATCATAAAAAACAATATTATAAGTTGTTTGTGAATACAAATATAGGTAGTGAAAGCATAATAATATGTACAAGAATAATTAACACCAAATTCAGCATGGTGAATCTGCCTACCTCAAAATACATGGGGGAAGATGGGACAAGTATATATAGTGTCTTCAACTATAATGATAATGTTTTCTTTCTTAAAACATAAACAAGGACTGAAGCACATATAGTAAATGTTAAAATCTCACAAAGCTAGGTGTTGAGTACCCAGATATTTATTATGTTTATTTCTACACTTTGCTATAGTATTTTAATGTATTTTAAAATACAGAGAAAACGATTCAAACTAACCTATTCAAAGCCAAGAACTGATTTTGAAGCAACCACCTGTACTCAGAAGTTTTTATATGTATACAGATTCACACTGACAACACAAGTATTAGTTTAATAGTAAATTAAACTAATTTAATATTCCAACTATATTACATTAGATACTTCAGAATACTTACAGATTCTAGGTCTTCAACATCTTTCTCTAACTGTTTATTTTGTTCATTCATATTCATAACTATATTAAATACAGACTGCCTAGGATGCAATGTTCGATCAAATTGGTGGTACATGTTTCTCCAAAACCTTTGTGACAAAAAAAAAGTTTCAATAAATTGTGTTTGAGAAAAAGCAAATATAAATATTTCAATGATGCCAACTTACTTAAAGTTGAAAGATGCTGTATTTGGCTCCAAAACTATAAATTTCTGAGATTCGGAACTATAGAGTGGATTTAAGTACTTCTTTTGGTCATCCAAAAGAAATGGCCACAGGGAGTAAGTCTTCTCCTTCAACCTTAATGTAATGAGAAAAACATAAAGATCTTTCCTAAGATGCAAAGTATTACTGCTAATACTCATTTTTATAAATCAGGCAATTGCTTCCAAAGCGGATTTAAGTTTTAGTTTTTTCTTCTATTCACAGTCTTACCTCATGTCTCTGAATTTTGTATTCTTTTCTCCTTTTTCATTCATAATCATGTAATAAATAAAGTCATATCTCTTGAACACATAGATAATATCATTTTCTCTAACATACACTTCAAGGGATTCCTCTCAACTAACACAATTTTCAAGAACTTGGTCTCTGTTCCACCCATTTCAAATCACCATGCACAAACACACAGAACAAGACATGAATGTATCAATCTGGGCTGTAGTGGCCAAGTATTACAGGGCAGGAACACATTAAGTGTGAATGGTTACAAAAAAGGAAATAGGCAAAATCAGGATGTTATGCAAAAGTTTTAAATGCCAGTTATACTGCAAATCTAAAAGTAGGTGGGTAAAGGGTAGAACAGTTTTAGGTAGTACACTCTCCAAGTAAACATTAACACAGAGAAGGATGAAGGGGCGAAGAGTGAAGAATCTTCTCATTTTTCTGTGGCCCCTAAGATGACCCACAGATGTATTCTAGTGAAAAACTACTAGGAAATATCCACTTTTATTTTCATCGTCTCATTTTTGAGCATGTTTGGCACTAATTGAGAACAGTTTTTCCTAAAATAGCTTTGTACTCCAAGAGTCACCTGCTCCAAATCATGACACACTATTGCAAGTTACTGTAGCACAGAGGTTATGCCTTACTGTTCTTTGATTTGTTTATCTCTGCCATACTCTATTCATTCACTTGTTATTCCCTTTACACATCTTTAGAATTTTCCACATGCTCTCAGTTCTGCCATAAACTCTGTTGGAAGTGTGAGCACGTGGCTCACTTCAAACTACTACCAGATTTAGCTTTTCTAATATGTCATTTGGATGTTCAGGAATCTTTAATTGCTCTTTATTGACTACTGTAAGAAATCTAAATTCAGAAGCCCAACCTAAAAATATACAAAGGTCCTCAGCCTTATCCCAGATCTCTTCTGCATTGAAATTTAGCCAAAAAAAAAAAAAATCCCTACCCCCAAAGACTGACTAGGAAAGGACAGATGAACTAGGGTCAAGGACAGTGTTTCAGAGCTTATCTGAGACCTTTCTCAAGGACAGACACACTGCAGCCAACATAGGTAGTTTATTTTCCCCAAAGAACTGTCTATTTAGAAATGTGAGAAATGTGAGAAGAGCTATAAGGTTCCATCTTACCTTAAAACACTTTCAAAGGGTGGTAAAACATTTAAAACTAGTGGTCAATACTTTCTGAGAAATAAAATAAAGATTTCTTGTTCTAAAATTTATATTCAGTGCAAAAGAGCATGAGCAGAGTTTCCAGGGTATTGGCAACATTTCCTGTTTTGCGTTCTGGTTACATAAGTGCATGAGTTTGGTAAGATTTACTGAGCTTTACCCTTACGTTATATATACTTTTCTATGTGTGCTAAACTTCAAAACACATTTAAAATGTATTTTTACTGTAACCCTGAGGGGGTGGAGGATATTATGAGGATACTTAGCTTCAGACACAGACAATAAAATCTTCACAATAAAATTCAGTTCTATTTACTATTGTCAAGATATTTTACTAAGTTCAACCATGATTTATGTTAGAACTCAGCTAAGTAGGAAAAAAAGCCCATTTTAATCAAATCATCTTACTTGAGTTCTTCTCTTTCCTTCTGACAATTTCCAAGGAAGTTTCCAAATTGGCATGAATGAATATGTTCATGGATCTGAAGAAGAAATGCTTCATTGAATTCAAAGCCTTGTGGAAACTGTTCTGTTAAATGCCACACACACTCCAAAAACTGAGTAAACACGGGTGAGACTTCCTTTGGGTCACCATCCAAATGGCCACACCTAAGCTCCCCAGAAAAAAAAAAAGTAGAAGCTTTTAAAAATGTCACTGAAAGAAGTCCACTTGTTCAGGTATTGTTAAACTTAAGCATACGTACATAAAAAAAATTCTAAAGTTCTGTTACATGAGCACATAAAAACTATAATTTTCTAATTAAAATAATTTATACCTGAGTTTTTAAACTATAATTTTAAAGAATTTGTTGCCTTTCTAGTTAATGAAAAACTTACTACTATATTCCAGCCGAAAAGAAAGGTAATAGCCATGAAAATTAACAAAGGTATTAAAATTGAAAGAAATTACCAAAAAAAATTAAATCAGTGTTCATATAAAATACAGTACAAAAGCAAATAGCACTCTCACCTCCCATCAGACATATGAATTCTTAACAGAAACATTTTGGCACTCTAAATTAGTTTGCTAATTTTGCAAAATATATAAATGTATAACTGTGACTCACCTCTCTGAAAATTTATGTCCAAAAGAGATCCAATCTTTCTCTATTAAAACCTCAATGAGAAAAAGTAAAATCCACTTCATAAATATTTTCAATTTTTGCAGAATGGATTAAATCCTATTAGCTTAAAAACAGCATTTACAATTTAAATTTATGGTTGCAAGCAAAACAAACCAAAAAGCCCAAAAAACTACAAGTAAAAGATAGCCAGAACCTGGTTTAGAGGTAGGATTAAAGATCAAAAATACATGAAAAGAAAGAGTGATCCTGTGACTTAAAAATATTTCAGTTGTATTTATTGAAATGAGCATGTTATAAAGCAGTATTACATTTAAATTTTATACATATAAAGATGACATATCACAGGAATAAAGCCAGGAAATATAAACCAAAATAGTAGCAATGGTTAACTCTGGATTATGGATACAGTTTCTGGAGTGCATGCACAGGTTCAAATCCTGGTTTTGCCACTTCTACCCCTGTGTGACCTTCGGGCTGGAGCCACAGATTTTATTCTGAGACCTTCACCATTCTTCTACACAACCATGTCTAAAATTCAACTCAATGTCTTTCTCACTGGTCTTATTCCTCTGCCTGTCTCAGTAAAGAGCAGGAGAGCAGCAGCACTCACCCTGGCAACTGATTCAGGGATCTGGAAACCATCCTAAAGGAGGACTCTCTCTTCTACCCCACATGCACTTCATGACCAATTCTTTTTACTGACTCTGCTTTCTTAACATCCCTGGAACCCATCATCTCCCCCTTCACTTGTATGTTACTGCCTTAGTTCTGGCCCTTTTTTTTTCTCTTGATTTATCGTAAGTTTCCACATTGGCCTCCTAGCCTCCATTCCCACTCCTCTCTGTCTTCAAGACACGAAACCATCTTTTTAAAATGCAGATCTAGTCAAGTTATTGTTTCCTCTTTTTAAAACTCTTTAACGGTTCTCACTACCAGAAGGAGGAAAGTCCAATTCCAACCTCTCTTCCTCAGACCCTCACTCCAGTATATTCCTCTGCCACCAAGCCCCTACTCTAACACTCACCCTGAATTCCATCCATCACACATTACCTGCAGTCACCTAAGGCTATGCTTTAGTTCACATTGTTCCTCTTGCCTGGGAAACTCACATTGTCCCTGGTCATTTATCACATGATTTCATTTGGATGTGCAACAAGTATTTAAAGCTAATCATCACAAAGGAAACATTCCTTATCTTATACTCTCAAGGTAAGCTGAGCATTATTTTCTTATTAGCAGGACTCCCATTTGGCCTGTCCCAGATTCAGTATGGTAGCAGCAGAAAATAATAGTGCTGCAAGGGGACTGGAGATTTTAAATCTTCCATTGCTTTAAGATGGCAGTGTATTGAATAACTTTAATAAAAACTTTCTAACATCTCTTCATTTACTTTATTCACCATGAGTTAAGATGTAAATTTTGAAAACATAAGTTATTCTAACCATATTTTAAAAAGCAAACAAATAAAGAACAGGAGCTAGGGCTTCATCTTCACAAAGCAATAAATCTGCTCAACTAGAAATTTAATCTTCAGATATAAAGCATGCCTAACAAGTTATTACATCTAACAAATGAAGGTGTATTAATAGAAAGTTTCCTCCAGAATATAATTTTAAAGTACTCTTATTTGTGCCCTTTTTTTATTGCATTACTTATATTTGTTAGATAAAAATGAGGGAGAAAATACCGAATATTTCTATTGTAACATTTCAGGGAAAAAAAAAACAATCTTTAAATTTAAAGCTTTCTGTCAGAGATGGCACAAGTGGAAATCAATCTAACTCAAAGTTTCTCAACCTCGGCAGTACTGACATTTTGGGGCAGATAATTCTTTATTATGGAGGCCGTTCTGTGCTTTATTGGATGTTTAGCAATATCCCTGACCTCTACCAGCTAAAACCCAGTCTCACCATTTCCCTTAGTGCAAAACTGTCTCCTAAGATTGCCAAATGTCCTCTGAGGGGACAAAATTACTCCTATTTGAGAACAACTAGTCTAACTGAATAAACCCTTACCATGAATCCTTTGATTGTCCTGTAGTAGGAATCCAATAAAAGAGAACCAAGGGAACAAACCTGGGAAGTCCTATCCCAACCATCAGAACAATGTACCAACACACTTGCATTTTCAACCATTATTGCCTGAAAAGAAAGACAACATACTTAGACTCTGGCAGAATATTTTATAGGTAAATCAATACATCTCCTTACTTGAAAACCATACTAGCAGGTATTGCATTAAAAGGACTATGCCCACAATGATAAGGTTGTCACAGTGTAATTTCCACAAGACAAAACAAAACACAACACGAAATCCAAAGGCAAAAATGCTGTTTCAAAGTATTTGGGAATTTCTTTTGAAGTCTCTAAATTAAGTGCTATATGATATTTTTAGAGTAAACCTCATTAAAGAGGTAAAGAATAATAAAAATTACTGAATAGAATAAATACCAGCACCCAACAGAATAAACCCACTCCTTGCCCACCATTATAAGCCCCAAAACCAAAGATGAGAAATAGTTACTTTGGCTAAGAAGATTGCAGCATCCATAACAGCTTTGACATGGCGAAGCCATCCTGAGCTCTCCAAACCAGAGTAGAAATCATTGACAGAAAGCCCCTTGGTACCACTGACTAAAAAGGGGAGGAAACATTTCAATTAGAATAGGGCTAGCATCTCCACTTGTCCTTTTCAAGATCTCTCTATGTGAGTGAATTGAAAAAGAAGAGGATGAAACAAATAGGTGACACTCTTTATAAATGAAAAGATGCTATTAGAAGCTCAATAATGGATTTTTGGGAACATATTTCCATCACTACTTGTGTTTAAAAATATGCTCTAATCTTTAAAAAAAATTTTAGCACGAGCGTTTAACTAAAAATAGTCTTATATTTTAATTTTTTGATTCCATGACTAGAAAGATATCTTAATTTTTAAATAAAACACTGTCATAAATTGATCTACATTGTACTGAATACTCAAAAAAATCTATTAACAATGCCAGTTTTTTGCAGTCATTAGAATTGTACTGTCCAATACAGTAGTCCACTACCCAAATGTGGCTACTGAATACATTGAAACTGAGATATTAAGTGTAAAATACACACCAATTTCTAATGCTTGATGAAAAATAAAAGTAAAATATCTCATTACCAATTTTTTATATTGATTATATGTTAAAATAATATTTTTAGTATATTGTTAAAATTAATTTCACCTGTTTCTTTTTACATTTGTAAATATGACTACTAGAAAATTCTAAGTTATATGTGATTAACATTATATTTTCTTTTGGACAAAGTTGCCTGAAAGGTAAGCAATAATCATACCTTCCAATAATTTCTGGAGGCTGGACCTCATGACATGAATATTTTCAATTCCAACAAATTGAAATCTTATATTAGAATAGTTGTCTTCATTTTCATAACCTTTTCCAGCTGCTCTGTTGGCCATTGCATTCAGCTGAAATTAAAAATTTTAGAAATTTAAAGACAAATTACTTTTCTCTTTTAATTTACCAAAACGTCATGAAAACACTAAACAAGCCATATTTCAGCTATAAGAGAGCTTAAAGGAATTCATCAAAACTGAATAAGCTACCATTTTTTAATAAGTAAAAATGTTACATGTTATTAATAGTAAAGAAAGGATATTATAAACAATATGATTGCTATATAACGGAAAGGTCCAGACAAGAAGTTCCCACAAGTTCACAAAGCTAATTCATTTATGTTTTTAATCAGTTTTCCACGTTTGCAATATTTCAAAATTAAAAGCAAATGTCTCCTATATAAACCCTAAATGATTCAGGGGTGGGCAGAGCTGGGGAGCTTTTCTTTTACAGAATGAATTTATGAGATTCACTTCAGAACAAGCCTGGACCATTTGGCCATTCGGAAAGCTGGAGGGACACTGAAAATCCAACCTGAAATATGCTTCAGATTACTTGAGGTCCTCCATATTGGAGATTACTGGAGGCTCATACACCTTATAATATGACATATAATCCTCTGACACATGTCCAAGAATTGGGTCAAAAATAAACTGGTCTCTAGGGAGAAAACAAACTGCCTGTAGGCCCATGGTCTTTAGTTCTTAGATCAAATGTTATCAAAGGTTCACTTGGAATTGGCATGCTTCATTCTTTTAGAGTAGGATGTCATACAACATTTTACCACAATTTACTAAATATTTTTATAAACTTAGATGAAACAGAACCTAAACTGGAAGAAAAAGTAACTTCTTCAGTGGATTAGGGCCCCAGGTTGGTAACAAGTACAGTTAAGTTGTATCTACAGATTCACTGGTTACTCAGCACCTATGATGACGAAAGTAAAATTAAGAGTCAGATATTAAAAATGCTCCCACATTATTACTGCTTGACTTTAAGTTTAACTGATAAAAAAATCAAAAAAGACATATTTTTGATGTAGAAGATAATTATTATGTTCTGAAAAAAAAAATCACCCTCAGACCTCATCTTCAAAAAGTTTCACATTATTATCTAAGAAGAGTACTAATCAATTATTCTACCCAGGTTATACAAGGAAGTGGAAGAAAATTTTTCTTATACGAGATATCACCAACACTCTTGACTCCTAAGAATGTCTTATTTTTAGCGAAATAAAAGTTTATTAAGTTATCAATTTCTAATTTTTAATACTTCTTAGTTTACTCAGATTTCTCTCATCTTGTTTTCTCCATTATTTTTTGTGAGATTGCATAATGATGAGAATTACTTCTAAAACAGCTACCATTCCTTTCACAAAGCTGCCTAAAATTGCTGTTTTCTATATCGCTCACTCGCTTTTTCTCATCGCTCTCTCTTATTTTCTCATCATTCCAGATTTTTGAAGAAATCCTCACTATAATTCTGCCAATGTCCTTTTGTGTAGCCCACCAGCTCTGCATGCGATGCTATAATGAAAATTAAAAGCAGTGTTAGCTATTACCATTGAGGATTTAAATTACTTTAGTTTAAGGATCCTATATGAATTGGTTGTCTAAGTGTGCTTATAAACAAAAAGGAATTCTGACATTTGGCCTATTGATAAAAATTTAGTAGACGCCTAACAACGATTTCCTGTTCACTATAATTCTCTAGTTCGATGTTTCCTAAGTTAACTCACTGTTTTCCTTATTTTCCTGAATACTTCAAATTAAGGTCCATTATTTTAACATAAAGTCCTTGGCCAATAAAAATTTATACAAAAAAGAGTAGTAAGAAATTCTAATTTTTCACAACACGTATTCTATTTAGTATTTCTTCACAATAACATAAGACTTATACACTACCAAGAGTTCCCAATATAAAATTCAGCTTTCCTAAATTTGTATATATATATATGTCAGAAGACATAAGAAATCACCACTGAGTTACTGGGAAATTGGTCTTCTAAGATGGTATCCTCAAAAGGATTCATTTCCTTACTATAATAAGCTTCAGTTAATTAATTAATTAATTAATTTATTTATTTATTTATTTTTTTGTCTTTTTTTTTTCCGTGACCGGCAACGGATCGCAACCCTCAGTGTCGCGCCCGTACCGGACCGGGACCGGCAACGGGACCGCAACCCTCGGTGTTGCCCCCGCTCCTCGCTCAGCCAGTGAGCGGCCGGTCTGTATGTGGGATCCGAACCCTCGGCGGGAGCGCTGCTGCGCTTCCCAGGCGGCGCACTGTAGCAGTGCACCACCGGGCCGGCCCCAGTTAACTAATTTAAAACTGGGATTTAGATGTTTTAAATATGGGCAAATTTATTAAGTCCCATTAATTAAAGTAATAAAGATAACTAAACCAACAGACTATACTGTATTTAAAATACATACTTTGGGCCTGGTATCCATGACATACATATAGCGATTGACTGGATTGGCTTTACTAATGGCTTGAAGTAAATGTTCATCCTCCAGGCATCTGGCACTGAATCCTGATAGTGGTTGACTACATCGACAAATGGCAGCCTAATTTTAAAAAGACAGAAAACTGATTACACAAAGATCCCTAAAACGTGTTTTAAAATGCTTAAAAGAAAATAATATATATATTAAAACCAAATATTCAATCTGTTTAAAAGTTGGCCAAACAATTGGGAGGCGTTAATTTTGAAATCCTATTTGAATTATATACTATTTCAATATCTTGATGTTCCCTAAGTTTTCCCAATATTCTCTTCTCCTAAGAAAACTCAATACCTCCTTACCTAATTTGATGAAAAACAACTTAGGTCCTAAGAAGCAACACATGGGCAATTCTCTATCAAGTACCCTATTAAGGTAACTGCAGTCTGTGCTCTAGATTACAGAATACTTTCGACTCAAGTTCAAGTAAGAGATTAGTCAATACAAGTAGAACAGGAATGTTTAAAGTAGCAACATTTGAACTTTTACTTTCCAAAGACTTTCAGATCTCTAATTAGAAATCAGTAAACTTTACATGAGACATAAAATGAGAAAAATGAGCTTCAATTTAAATTTGGGTTAAAATATAGTCACTCTAAGAGGGCAACAATATAAGAAGCAGTGAATGGTTGGATTAGTTAATTACTGTTGTTTAAAGTCTGAGAAAAGGTTTAAAAAATTTAACTCATATAATTTTTCTCCAATCTCATCCATGCCAACTCCAGCTTAATTCTAACCAAACATTCCAACTACAATATCATTAAGGGGGAAAAAAAAGTATATATAAATTCATACATTTGCACCTTTTAAATTCGCACACAAGGGCCGGCCCCGTGGCTCACTCGGGAGAGTGCGGTGCTGATAACACCAAGGCCATGGGTTCGGATCCTTATTTAAAAAAATAAATAAATAAATAAATTCACACACAAAATGAAACCAAGAAAATTTAATAAAATAATAGAAGAAAATGAAGATTGACTTAGTAAATTCTTTTCAGACCTACTTCTGATTTCTGTTAAATTGGGATTCAGTATCTATTTTCAGCCCAGCTTTCTAATAAACAATGTATCAAAACATGGGTGTGTCAATAAAGGTGATAACCAGGTAACTTCCCTCCCTATGACTTAGTTACAAAAAGCAGATTACTAACTTCTGTTTAAACTTTTACTTTTTACTTTTGTTCCCTTCTAAACCCCACCTACGGGGCCGGCCCGGTGGCGCACTGCTACAGTGCGCCGCTTGGGAGCGCAGCGGCGCTCCCGCCAAGGGTTCGGATCCCACATACAGACCGGCCGCTCACTGGCTGAGCGAGGTGCGGGAGCAACGCTGAGGGTTGCGATCCCGTTGCCGGTCCCGGTCCGGTAGCGACACTGAGGGTTGCGATCGCGTTGCCGGTCACGAAAAAAGACAAAAAAAAAAAAAAGGAAAAAATAAAATAAATAAACCCCACCTAAAGTACTAATAAAGAAATTTAAAATGCATAAAACCACAAGGACAAAGAGAATGGGAAAGGAAATAACAATAGAGATGTCAATAAAATGTGGGGAGAGATGATAGCAGATTGGCAAGTGATAACCAATTCAGCAAGGCAAAGAATGCTGCCAACTCCCTTAAATCAATAGAAGCAAGGTATTTTGAGCAGCAAAATCTTGGAAAAGACAACATATATATGTATCAAAATATCAGATTGTACCCCATAAGTATATACAATTACAATATGTAAGTTGAACTTACATAACACGAGTTTCAAAAATATGAAAAAAGTACAAAGAAATCTAACAAAAGAGAGGAAGTTACCAAAGATATAGAGAAGCAACTTCTCAAAACTGAGACCTGAGCTTCCAGGTGGAATTTAAGAAGACATGCCAATAATGCACGTCACTGTAAAATTTCAGAACACTCGGCAGAAAGAAGATTCTAAAAGCTTCCAGGGAAAAATATCAGGTAACAAAGGTTTGGGAGTCAGAAATGGCATCAAATGCCTCAACTTACTTGCTGTGAGATATAGGGAAAGTGATTTATCATCTGCAAATTTCAGTTTTGCCATTATGAAAGTTATAGGTAAATATTAGCAGAGCCTACTTTACAAAGTTATGAAGACATGCATATAAAGCATTCAATATACAGTACCTCTTGGCCTTCTTTTAGTAGCTACAAAGGTAAGTTTTATTGTAATAAGCAATCCCTATTACAGCATTGCTGCATAATGATGCCTCCTCCACCTCTTCATGTTGCAAAATCCTTTTCATTTGAGCTTACTATTAAAATGGGAGCCTGAAATGCCTTTGGTTCTCTCCTTTCACTCAGTGGTTGGCTTGTCAAAACTATCTGCTGGGCCGGCCCGGTGGCGCACTGCTACAGTGCGCCGCTTGGGAGCACGGTGGCGCTCCCACCGAGGGTTTGGATCCCACATACAGACCGGTTCCCGCTCACTGGCTGAGCGAGGTGCGGGTGCGACACCGAGGGTTGCGATCCGTTGCCGGACATGAAAAAAGACAAAAAGGAAAAAAAAAAAAAAAAATCTACTTTCTCCAAACACTAACAGGATCAAAAGAGAACCACAGGAAAAAAAAGAACCTATTTGTTCATGAATACCATTATTTTCAAGTCACTATTGGAAGGAAGGGAGGGACAGAAGAGGAATATGACAAGAAGTACTAAAGTTTCTATACTTCAGGGTAGTTTTGTTTTAAAATTTCAAAAATGTAATTAAATGTAAAGCTAGCACTTTTTAGCAATCTTTTTCACACAAAAAATAGTGCTCTTTGGGGGCTGGCTGGTTAGCTCAGTTGGTTAGAGGGTGGTGTTATAACAACAAGGTCAAGGGTTTTGATCCCCATACAGGCCAGCTGCAAAAAAAAAAAAAATTAAAAAAACAAAGTGTTTTTGGATATTTAAACCTGAAGAGGATTTATACTATATTCAATTTAAAATCAAAAGAAAAGCTTCCTACCTCCTTATCCTGATGATAGTAAGAAAGAACTGGGAATCTGCCCTTGCTCCGGAACTTGGAACTGCCGACAATTATTGGTTTGCTTGCTATACAGGGAACATAGAGTTCTCTGGGATAAGTTTCACAAATCTGTAAATACCAAACAAAACACAATCATTCTACTCATAGTTCAAAAACCATGAGGTTAAAAACCACCTTTAAAAACATTTAAAACTTATTAAATGCAAGAACAGCACATTGCAATACATAGACAACTTGCTACTATGACACTTGGGAAAATATAGGAAAATGGTCAGGGCCCCTCAGATGTTCAGAATCTTGCTGAGCATTTCCTGTAAATATCCTCAGGTGTTCCTTGTTACTACTTAATGTAATTGCTATTGGCACCTCGGTGTCCAGCATTATGGACTTGAGTATAAAGGATTAACAGCTCTGATCCATGGTGCTTCTCAGAACTTTCAGAGAAGCCACTAGGACAGTTGCTCCTAGCTCTGAATAAAGCCTATTAATTTTTTACCCATGGCTCCCAGGACCTTTTTCCTATTATGTAGCTCATAGACCTGCGTGTGGAGAGTTTGTGACCCAGTCTGTGCAACAGACTCAAGGGGTCTAGCCCTAGACCTAGCTTTACAACACTCTCTGACCTCTAACACTAACATTTTCTGAATTTCTCCAAAAGATTGCTAAGTTACCTTGTACTCTCGGTTGGCATCAGACAACTGCCAGTGTAAATTTGGCATTCCCATCCTCTTATATTCCTCAGCAAGGTCAATGAGCTCCCAACCTTGTAGTCGTTCTGAATCATTTTGTTTGGGATTATAAGAGAATGCATAGAGATCTGCATACTTTGCTATAGGATACAAAATATAAATTTGTTAAAATGCAACTTATAACACAATGCACTACAAATAAAAGTAATTTCTCAGTTTTTTCCTCAACTTTTTTCTTTAAAATCTTCAGAGATGACTAACACCTGCACATACTTGAACTTAATATTTTCTAAGTTCTTTGATGCAAACAATTACAACTAAAGGCACAAATGGATCTTAGATTCGATTTATGTCATCAACAAAAGTTAAACTAATAAGAAATAGTTAGATTTATATGTTAAATCCTCTACTGCAATATTTCTTTTTCTTAAAAGTAGAATTTTAAAAACACAAATAGATACTTTCTACTAACTACTTTTCTCAAATGAGATGTAAAATAGAAAGACTAAGGCTGCAATGAAAAACCAGAGACAGCATATATAGAACATGAAATTGCGGGCCGGCCCGGTGGCGCACTGGAGAGGGCGGCGCTTGGGAGCACGGCGGCGCTCCCGCTGAAGGTTCGGATCCCATGTGGAGACCGGTTCCCGCTCACTGGCTG